ATATAATGTCGACGCACCCCGCAAAATGCATGGTTTTGTGATATAATCAATGAGACCAAAATAAATCATTTCATCACTTTTTCCACTATTAATTTCAGCTAGAACCTCTACAACTTAAAAGTCATCTCCAAACAAGTATAAATAACTGAAGTAATATGTTTGCACAAGAATGCACACCATCATATAACTGGGAAATTTTGTGTGCAGAATTAGCCGATCACATTCGAATTGCTACCATTTAAATTTCAGGCCTCTGCTAGAAAGCAAAAAAAATGCCAGGAAAAGCAGACTATACCAGCTGAACTTTAGTTGGAGATTTGGGGTTGTTCATAGACACTTCAAATGAAAAACCTAGCATTTGAACAAGGCAGAGTTTTCAAATCCATTGGACATAGAAAAAAGTTTTTTTTTTGTTTTTTTTTTAAAGATTTGTGGAGGTGCACAATTGCGCTGCATTATATTGACATCTGTGCAGGTGCACTTAAATATTTTTTGACCAATTAGTGTATCATGACAATAGCATCGTTCTAATTCATGACATAGTACAGCAGATAACCACGAGGCGTCGTTTACGCATGATCATGTAAAGCAACATGACTGGCAAACTATGGCAAGGTGTTTTTGTGAATGAACGGTGCGACATTCAAGTTCACCCTCAGAACAAGAGGAGAGAAGAAGCTCAACGTACAGTATGAATCACCACAACAAAGTGGAGGAGGGGCATGAGCTGGGGTGGGGTGGATGGTGTTGGTGATGTCATTGATGATGGCGGGGGAGTCAGTCGTGAGTCAGAAGGAGGAGGAGGAGGAGGTGGGTACGAAAAAAAAAAATGGGAGCACATGGGAAGGTGCATGGCGCACCTGCTAACATGGTGGATGACTCACCACTGCTTTACACACACACACACACACACACACACACACGCGCGCGCACATGCACGCTGGATTTAAACATACACACGAATGAAGGGTGAGTGAGGAGGGGTACGATGACTCACACGTCAATGATATATACACACACACACACACACACACCCACACACAA